TCGCGCCTTTGACCCCCGCCCTTTCCCGGGAAGTTTTTTCCCCCATTAAAAAAACCTGGTTTTCCTTAACCCATTAATTCCAATTTTCCCCATTTTTTTAACCCTTTTTAACCCTTTTAAAGTTTTTTTCTGGGGGTTTTTCAAAAAATTGGAAAGTTTTTTTTTTGGTTTGGGAGGGGGGCTTCCCCCCCCCCCCCCCCCCCCCCCCCCCGGCCCTAGATGTATTCAACATTTAATTTTCCATCTTCCAACTATTTTATCGGATTGATGATTTTTGATTTATTCTGGTTCAAAATCAGATGACATGTCGTTAATTGAGATACTCAATTTATTTTTGTTTTTGTTTTTGATTTTGTACTTTCATCCCCCCCCTCCCGAGTTGATTAACTTATCAATTTCTTTCTGGCAATATTCATTTCTCTGGATATTCTTGAAAACACGACAGCTTTTACTTTGGATTAGAAAGAGTACTCAAAGAGATCATATATTTTTGCATTTCGATTTGCAGATTAGTTTTCTACGACTAACTTTTGACTTTTGTGTCCTAGCTATCTTGCTCCTCTTTCTGATGACCCTTTTTTTTTCTCTTCTTTTTTTTATTGTGAAGTTACCAATGAGGGAAAATTCAGACGAAGCGCCCCAATCTGAAGGTAAATTTCGTAATTACAATCCTGGCACTTCTCTACTATGATTTATCCCGTCAATTGAAAAAAATGTAATGTGAAATATGTGATTGGTTACGACACCTTTGCTCGTTTTACGTTCTTTTGTTTGCTGGATTATTTACAAATTAACTTTCTAAAAATAACGATGTTCTTCGTATAGCTTATTTCATCAATCATGGTCTTATTTCCTGTGATCGTGTCTTGGTCGTGGTTTGCACTTCACATTTCAATTAACTCACAACGTGGCTTGTAAATCTCTTTGTGGCCGGCCAACATCTTCAAAATGTCAATACTCTGTTTGGCTCAAGTGGTTTTTCGTTCATGAATTTTTAGCCGTGAAGATCTTTATGTGCTCTCTTAATGTTTTATTGCAATTTTAATTCATGAATATATATGTTGGTTCTACCCTTTTTATCGGCTACGTATAATTTCTTATTCCAGGGGAGATACATATACCTAGTCTTGCAGAAGTGGAGAGGGAGTTGAAGAGGATGAAACTGATTCTCGAAACAAAAGGCCACCTTATTGACCCTCATATGAAAGCCTATCTTTTGCAAGAGATTTTGAGCCTCCTTAACAAAGTAAGCACCTCTGCCGAGTCTTCTACGTCTCAGTGACACCATATCTACCGATGCGTTAATGTTTTTCATACTATAATTTTGAGCAATATTATTTTTTCTTCGTTTTTTTGTGAGTTGTAGTGAGTTTGGCTAATCAGCTTTGACATGAATGAACTTTTGTTTTTTATTATAATATATATCTCTAATTTCGTAGCAATATGTTGTAGCAGTTTCATCTTTTTCCTACTTTGTAATTCGTACCATGATTTAATTTTCTTAATAATATAAAACGGATGGAGTAAATGTATTGAAAACTGGATCGGACGTTGACCCGAACGAGCTATTGAATCACGGTTGGATCGGGTTTTTTTTTTCATTTTTTATTTTATAATTATTTACATAATTTTAATAGTAAATAAAACATATTTCTTTCACACACACATTAACTCATTTGCAATTAAAATGTAAAGCAAACTCAATTTTCTTTTACACACACACACACCATATCAAAATACACATATCAAATCGAATCATTTCAAATATTATAGAAATTATAATTAAAAATAAGGTTTATTACACTACACCAAAAAGGCTATTTACTAACAGATATATCCATTACAAATAATTTTTCTAACGGGATAAAACCGTTAGAAATAGTGCGTGAGAAATTTAATCGTCTGTATTTCCAACGGATATAAACCGTTAGAATAATTAACAAACTGTTAGAAAAATAAATATTTCTAACGGTTCTTATCCGTTAGAAACATTGTTGTAACGGTTTGTGTTTTAACACTTACTTCTAAATTCCTAACGGATATGGCCGTTAGAAAAATTAAGAGAAAAAAAACAAAAAAAAAAGTTTAAATAAAATAAATAATATTATATATATATATATATATATATATATATATATATATATATATATATATATATATATATATATATCTCTATATATCTATATATATATATTGCTCTGAATTTTGAAATAAATTGCAATTTATAAAACATAAGGTCTCTATAATTACATAAAAAAATGAATTTGAAGTGTAAAAAAATCGATGTATACAATCCACCATTACATTTCACTATCCATAAATCCATACAGTAACCACAAGTCCTTAAGACTCATGCTAATCTATACCAAACAGAGAACTTAAACACATATACATACTAACCAACCAAAAGAAAAATAACATATCCCTTGAACCTGGTATCATAGAATTCCTACCTATTAAGCTGTTAAGATCACCAACTCAACCCATAACCCATACCGGGGTGTTCCCCCCAGTTCCGATATTCAGAGCATTTTGACCTGAATCCATAAACAAGAGAAAGTTATGTGAGATAAAAATGCAATTACCTGGTATTTTCTTATCACGTTGAACAAAATGACATGAAATCATGGACAAAGAACAAAGAACTATAGATCTTATAACTCTTTTTGTTCATTTAGCATTCCAGATGTAATACAACAAAAATCGTCAAAAATAATGAAAAATGTTAGTACAAAAATATTACACAGACATGATAAAACACATTGTCTCCACATTATATATACAACAAAAAATGCAAGATTATTACCTGTATGGCGTCCTACCTGCGGCACCAGGAAATATAAGTTAGTAAAACTCAATAGTAATAATACATGATACTATGCAATAGTAATAATACATGATACTGCAACCTGCCAAACTTGATCAATAGGTGATGGTGGTCTAAGAATTGGACATGGTGCCACATAATCAACAAATTATCAAAAGGCTGTAGATGTAAATTAGAATTTCAATAATATGTATTTGAGATTCCTACCTTCCATATAACCAAATCAGCATAATCTTGGAAATGGAAATAAAACTTCTTCTTCAGGCATTGCATTCTTGGACAAACAAACAAATACATTACACATAAGCTGATAGGTAATGTTAGGTGAAAAAAATTGTTTTCTTGAGAATTAAAAGCAGAAAATATCAAGACATTATAATAAAAACTCAATGGCTCACATTAGATAAGTCCAGCAGATTTTAATACAGGACATAAAAAAAACGAGTTCAAAAATCTTTATGATTTTCATCACTACTTATACGACTCACCAATGTTGGGTCATTTTCTTCATCCATATGAATGAGAGAATGCGATGTTTCAAACTACTAAAAAAGAAGATTCAGGAATATGTTAGATATGATCCGAGGCATTCAATACTTTAGCTGTTCTACATTTGCCCGAGTTGACATACACTGAAATTTAACAATAAAACTGCCCATCAAAACCAACACAGATAACTAAGTTATCATCAAGAAACTGTAAAATGAAATAAAATTATAAGTTCGACTTTTCCCCAAGTTTAAATAGACTGCAATTTAACACAAAAAAAAAAATGCCCATCAAAATAAACCAAATAACCAAGTTCTCAACAAGAAACTGTAAAATGAAATAAAAATCTAAAAAGGAATAAAAAATAGATCAATATTCATTAAGCTCATCTTTTCCTTATGGTGTCAATTTAAGAGCGTGTGACTATACCAGTTGCCTGATCACTGGAATCGGGGAAAAGCTCATCATCTTCACGGCAATATTCTCCAACCGACCGCACATCAACAAGATCGCCAGAGTCGAATCTGAAGAATCGGATTCTCTGATTTGCTGATTTCATCAAATCAAAAGCGAAAAAGTTTAGAACCTATCACAAAAAAAGATCTGAAAACGCTTCCAATTTGAAGAATATGCGACTAAAAATTAAAAATTACCATAAATCAACGAACAACTTTTGCTGAAGCATCTGCATCCAATATTGTTGTTCGCCGTCGAATTGAAAAGGTGTATTGTGGGTGGTGGTGCAAGAGAACCGATAACCCTACACGTTCTTTCTCACCCCATCGGTTTTCTTTTCCTTCACCAGACTAGAAGATAGAGAATGGATTGGTTTTTAATAAATATTAAATAATGAAAATTCCTTAATTTTATTTTTAATGTAAATATTATATAATATATTATAGATTTAGTTCATGTATTACCAACGCATACCAACCGTTAGCAATAACTTTTCAATTGTTACTAATTTAATACAAATAAATTATTATTAATTCTAACGGATAAGTAAATTTTCTAACGGATATAGCCGTTAACAATTTCTAACGGCATATATCCGTTAGAAGATACAAACTTATGCCGTTAGAAAAATCTCCTTTTGGTGTAGTGTTAGCGAGTCCCCTCAATATTTATTTCAATAATTTTTTTTTTAATAAATTCGTCTTTTTTTTCTTGGAAGATTTATCATCTCGTAAACAACTACAAATTACAATAATCAACTATACTTACTAAATTGTAATGGACTACAAATTTCAGTAATCAATTACAAAATTATAATACGACTACAATTTATAACAAAGACAAATACAAAAACAGTTCAATCCAACTACAAATTTTAGCAACCAACTACAAGCTACAGTTTATAGTAATTCACTACAATTTACCGAAAACAACGACAAATTCATCAAAACCAACTACAAAATCATCGAAACCATCTACAATATTATCGAAATGTACTACGAAAATAGCGAAATCAATTTCAAAAGAATATATTATCTTGTACCGCGCGACTAAATTGTAAGAGAAGGGTTGCAACCAATACCAAACTCCAGCCTCACCGTGTCAAAACCATCGACGCTACCAAGACTTAGATAGCGACCAATACCAAACCCCATAGTCGTCTCGCGAAAATATTAACACTGTTGCGCAAAAAACAGTAAAAAAAACGCCACCAATCGTGTTGTACCACCTAATCCGCGGATATCTATATATCACCATCTCGTTGTTGCCGGAATAGATGAACGTATTAAAATGTCGTGGCTTTGAAGTGTAAGAAGATCACCCTTGGAAAAGCACAGTTGTGGAAGACGTTCAGGTGGTTTCCGTTGTCGGAGATTTCATCATAGTCGCCCAAGCCTTCGCCGCCGACCTAATGCAACAAATGATTATTTTTGTGATTTCCGCCTCGGATTGAAGATTAGACGATGAGCAGACAGAGAACGTGTAAAGAGAGAGAGTTGTGAAGACCGTGAGAAAGAAAATTTTCGAAGTCATAAGAAGTTGTAAGTTTTGTATAGAATATGAGGGTATATTGAATATTTATCAAATAATGTATTTATATTTAATTAAAATATAAAATCAAGGGTCTTACTAAGATGAAAAAAAATAATGGACTTGGAGAAATGTAAATGTGTTTTGAGGGTCTCCCTAGTTAAGCCTTAAAACAACATGTCTTCCAATTTCAAGTAAACATATTTCGATTAACTTTTTTTTCAACTGGGCAATAAAAAGACGTCGTTTCGGCCATTTTAATTCTTTATTTTTTTCATTAAAAAATCATAATTTTGAAAAAAAAATCGGATTTTCACTTAGGTTATGATACTACGGCTCAACCGGTTAAAACCAAACATGACAAGACAATGGTTCACTGTTTAACCAGTCCAACCGGTCGGTTCTGTCAGGAAATTAAAACACCGATATTAATACAGTTTGATAAATTTCCAAACCATCACGCAGCTGCTTATGCAGTGCCTTTTTATTTTATCTTTTCTAGTACATAGTTTATTCAACAAAAAAAATAAAAAATAATATAGCTTATTATCATTATTTTCTTATCTTAGGTTTGGAGCATTTATTTTTAGAGAAAATTAAATCATGCTACGAATTAGAAAGTAGGAGAATAACATGATTCATTACTACTTTAAACTTAACGATGAACTAGTACCAGCTTTTATTATAATATTAGTTTAAATTTTGTATACTGAACAATGTTAGAAGTTGTGCTAAAATTCAAAACAATGATAAATATTGGAATAAATTGAATAACGGGTTTCAAGCGTGATTCAAATTGCAATCGAAGTCTCTTCCATGGTGTGATTTGATGAATTGTTTTTAGGTTTTTCAACTTGGAAAAATAATAGTAAGGTTTAACTGCAATAATTGTTAGTTAAAGGGGTTAAAGTCATATTAATGCATAGTTGGAGGGGTTGAAATTACATTGATGTTTACTTTAAAGGCGTTTGAACTTTAATTAGTTTAGCAAGTGATCAAATAAAAAGGCCTTTTCCGATCAATTGTAATCTCTCCAATCCCCAGATTAAACCCCGTCGGTGGCAGTTGCAATATCGATGCCCACCGTCGGCGCCGCCGCCACCGCCACCGGCCGTTATCCCTCGCCGTATTCTTTCTCGGCGCACGGTAATTGGAGGATGGAGCTGGTGAAGAGGAGATGGGAAAATAACAGGCATTCCAACAATACGACTACTGTATTGGTTAATGTGCTCCGGCTATCTTCGCCGCCGTGGTTATGGTGGTGGGAGATATACGGAGTTAATTGGATGTGGAATTTCTTCATAGGATGGCTATTTCCAGATTGTAAGCCATTAAATTTACTGTTTTGATGAATCATATGAAAATGCAATTGCCTTTAATTTCTCTATGCTTTTTTTTGATAGCAAAATTTCGAGTACTTTGGTCGAATTAATTGGGGAACCTAATACCTAATTGAACTCTTGGGAGATTCATATTTCCAGTGGTTTTTTTTTTTCCGTTTCCCTGTGAATTATTATATCAATGTATAAGTATAAGTGATTATATGATTTTTTCGTAAAAAAAGAAGTGATTATATGATTAATACCTAGGATTAACACCAATTGTTGCTCCTTATTTAGAACTCGTATTCTCTATAGGAAATTACTCATCCAAATATTTATCTCATCTTCTTTGTAACTTGATGGTTCCTACTAATTTTGCTTCTCATTATTTGAAGGAATATGGGGCATGATCGAGAGCTGGTGAGAGATGTATTTTCAGTATCAGGTAATATTTTAATCTGGATGTTGAAGAGTAGCCTTAGTAGTGTTTTGTTGAGTGTCAAATAATCAGAAAGTGCTTCATCTGATATCATATATATGGAAGAGCAAATATCGCGGAAATGATTGCGTGACTTAGTTATATGAAAGAGCATCTCGCTATTGAGTTATATTATGTTTTCAATTACTTTTTTTCAAGTATTGATCAAATATAATACACACATTTCAAGTTACGAGATGAGTTTCCAGGATATACTATGATTAACTTGAATAAGTTCAAGAGAAATTTTGTTTTAGGAAAACAAAAACTTAGAAAGAAAACGAGACCAGTCAAGAAGCCCTTGTACACTAAGAAGCCCTTGTTGTAGTTTCTTAAAAAAAAACATTGGTCTTATAAATGGCCTACAACCCGTTCGCAAAGAGACTTGAACCCTCGACTTAATACAAGATAACATACTTAAGAAATGCAAGATAATCATCAAATAGGACTCTTTTGTGTGTCATGGTAATAAAACAATTGAAATTCTGGTTGCCTAAAAATCCACTGATTTCCACAGTTTTAATATGGCAATGATTTATTGGTCACGATGTACAGTCTTGAATATAATAACTAATTTGCTTAAGCATTTAAGGAGTGCACCAACATTAGAAGCCGCTATTCAATAATATTTTGTGATCATTTAGACGATAAAGTAGTCGCAAAAGAGCTTTTTTAGCAATGGTCTTGGGTTGTTCAGTCTTTGAGTTTTTGCTTTTTTCATACATAGGTAAACTAAATTAATGGCTCAAGGAAGTTCACAATAGACTGTATGGTACATTTCATATCTCGCCAAATGTCATTTTGCTGCCAGCTATGGTTGGTGTAATTGCTAATATGTAAAATTAGCTGGCATCGTCACTGGATATGAAGCAATTTATTAGGGGTCGATACAATCAATGCTGACCTTATCGGATTTACTGGCGGACTTTCCCACAAATAAATTTTACCCTACCCTCCCTACTCCCTATTCCCATTCTACTTTCTCACACATTCTCTGCATCTCTCAATACCTTGTTCAATTTTCGATCTCCATCTCCTCATTTTCTCTTATCAAAGGTTCAAACTCAGAGGAGTTTGTGATCTGATTTAGGTGATTTTACTTCATTTTGTGTTTGTATGATGCCTATGTTTTTATGTTATTTTTTGTTGGTTTTCCTTTTTTTCTTTCTTCGTAAACTAGATCAACTGAGTGGTTACTAATTTTCCATCACTTTCATGTTTCGTTTCATGACTTACACGATATCTTTTATTTTAGATTAGAAAGAACATGTGTTTGTTCTCATCTTGATTTTGAAGATAGATTTTGGACTAGTTATTTTATTCCTCCTTTTGGTGGTTGTTTTAGTGGTTATGTTGTTCAAACTAACAATTTTGGAAAACTTTTGTTACGTAAATAAGGTGGGTTTAATCTCTGCTTGTAATTAAAACATAAAATAATAAATTACAAGTAGAATGGAGCAACCCTTATGAAGAAACCAATAACTACTATGATATTTACTTTGCAGTTTGTTTCTACTTGATTATGAGCCATTTGATTAAGCTGTTAAACTTGTACTCATATATTCTCGAATATTATTCTTTTGTCTCTGCTGTAACCCATTTCTTCAAATAAATGTACAAATGCTTAGTGGTTTAAATTTGGTTGTTATTCTCTGCTAGTCTTTAGGTTACAATACATGCATGTCTTGAAATAACTTCATTCTCTCATAGATTTTGTAACCTTTAAAAAATATTTTCCAGCGTAGGCTATCTAAACATATTAACAATTTAATTTTAATTTTTGTAATATTTATTTAACAGATTATGGAGAATTAGGACCAGTTTCATTGTCAGTGTGCATAAGTAGTAAGTAGCAATAATATAAAATAATTTTCTTCTTTCTAAAATGTCCTTAAGGAATGCTAATTCTAGATTTTCTTCCTGGATTACTCCAATTTACAGGCATGGCAAGTTAAAAAGTTTTTTTGGTCGGTGAAAAGGAAAATTATTTATATATTCTGTTGATATGCATAAGTAGTAAGTAGCAATAATATAAATAAATTTCCTAGAATGTCCTTAAGGAATATAATTCGAGATTTACTTCCTGGGGCCCTCCATTTTACACGCATGGTAAGTAAAAACGTTTTTGGTCGGTGAAAAGGAAAATTATTTATATATTTTGTAAATCTGCATAAGATTATACTAATAAGCATAAAATTGCAATAGTCAGTATTAGATTGCAGTAAGCAGTATCGGATTACAGTAATCAACACAATTTTCCTTTTTTGCTGGTAAGACATCCTTATTTGGTCTTCCCTGGAACAATTATGCATACATTTTTGCCATTGCAGTTAAGAGAACGCGGTGCCTGATTGAGAAAACGATTGAAAAACAAGATTTACAAAGACAATTAGGAGTTGAAATGATGCCGTGGAGAAGTACAAATGAAGATGCATCTTCTGCTGGAAATATGCAGATGAACGAACCCAACTTAAAGGTAAATTAGTAATGTTAATTGTGACAGATCTATCTGAAAAAAAATGTGCCTTCCGTGTATTCTGTATATCAATCAAGTTTTGAAATCTATCATATCCTTGACCATTACATAACTATGAACAACATTTTATTCAAAAGTGAGGACAATGAGTTCCTGTGTTAATACTTTTTTCTTTGGGTGTGGCAGAGGAAAAGAAGTGATTCAAATAATTGCCATCAATGTCGCAGAAACGACAAAGGAAGAGTCGTAAGATGCACAAGGTGCAATAAAAAGGGTTACTGTATTACATGCATCACAAAATGGTGAGGAATTGTGTTTTTTTTTTCGTTCCCATTTTTCAGCTCTATATTATGGTACTAACGTCTTTTCTTATAACAAAAATCATTGGTTGGAAACATGTTTTGAAGTAAATGAATCAAATGTTTCCACACTAGAATTATTTCCTGCACCCTCATGCTTATAGTTATAAATGTGGAAGATAAACAATTACACGATGACATTCTTTTTTGTTCGCCAACTATTGCATATTTTTTCTCTCCGTGTACTGATAGCATGAAATAATTAGTTGCTTTGTGTTTTCTGCCATAATATTTGGTTAAAGTTTCATCTGCACTACAACTATTCAGTTTCACTGTTTGAACAATATTGTATGAATAAGATTGTATTTAATTCCATCATGTCAATCATATCAGTTCTGTTTTGCTTTTGTTGCTTATATGTTGTGGTATACCTTAAATCTTTGTTTTATCTTTTCTCTTCAATGTCAAATTATTTGGTAAACTGCTTCATGTTTTTTGAGACTGAAATGTACTTATAATTTCTGAATTGTTCTTTAGCAAACTTGATTTTCGATTTTACTGCCTAAACGGTATATTTATTATCTTCTCTTTGGAAGATGGCAGTCCATGCCCTTTCCGGTTGAGGCATATCTTATACTCATTTTTACAGAACTTTGCTTAAATGAATCATCATGCTTATATTGATGTTTTTTCGTCAATGTTCTTGCATATATATTTACTATATCTTTGTGGTAATTACAGGTATGCAGGGATGCATGAGACATATTTTGCTGAAGCATGCCCCAGTTGTCGCAACATTTGCAACTGTACAGCTTGCTTACAGTCTGATGTGGCTAATCAAGTTCGTATTGAAGTACACTTATCTTGATTTTATCTTGATATAGAATTATATATTTTTTAATTATTTTATTGTTCTTGCATGTTAGGAATTGGTGATCCCAGACCTTTGCATCAGTGACAAGACTCAGTACTCAAAGTATATTGTTCGAGTACTTCTTCCGTTCTTGAAGAACTTTGTCACTGAGCAAAATATGGAAACAGACCACGAGGCCAGAATTCAAGGTAATTTTAACTTTTGTTAGGAGTTTTGAAGTTCACCCGGATTACACTTTTTTTTTGGAAGCTTAGTTTGCATTCGCTGCCTGAAAAGAAAGTCAAAGAGTCTTAGAATGGTGTTTAATGCGATGTAGAACTCGTCAATATCTTCATTTTTGGAAATTTCAGGGACATCTAACAATATTATTTTCTGCGGTGTAGAAGTATTAAGCATATCTAAAGTTCATGGTTACGACTTGTTTCCATATCAATAATAGTTTCACTGCTGGATGAAATACAATATTTTTTTGGTTGGACAGGCTTATCGGTTGCAGGACTACGGCTTCCCAAAGCAAACCATAGCCATGAATATCAACTGAAAAAATGGTGGATATTTCGAACTAATTTCTTTTCTTGATAATTCTCTGCTCCAATATGCAAAATGTTGATTTTAGAACTTATTATGTGCAGCGGTAATTGCAAATCTTCAGTATTTGATATTCACCGAAGCTGCCCAAACTGTTCATATAAGCTTTGTGCGAGCTGCTGCCAAGAGATTAGAAACGGCTTTGTTTCTGACTGTAAACTGACAAATAACGGTGACATTATTTGTCCACCTCAAGGCATGGGGGGCTGTGGTCCGAGGATTCTGGAGTTGAAGTCCACGTATCCAGTTAACTGGATATCGGAACTGCTAACAAAAGCAGAATCCGTAGCTGATGGTCATGAACCTTCTGCACGAGCATGCTCATGCTCGGGATACAATCATGGGAGTGAATCGGATAACTTCCATTGTCCCATTGTTGAGGGCGTTGAAACAGCGGACCAAAAACATTTCCAATGGCACCTATATAAAGGTGAGCCTGTAATAGTCCCTAACGTCCTCAACAGAACGACTGGGTTGAGCTGGGAACCGTTAGTCATGTGGCGCGCCTCTCGCAAAATTAAAAGCACCCATGACTTGCGTATTCTGGAATTCAGCGTAATGAACTGCTTAAATTGGTGTGAGGTAAGTCAACTTCTCTAGTATGTTTTACCCTATCAGAAACGCATATAATCCGGATTATGTGATTTGGATTCCTCATTTCTCATCCTTTTGTTAGATTATCTAATAATTAATTTTCTAATATAGCCTTACATCGGTTTACTTTTGTTTTCGTGTTGCAATAATTTGATTTTGGGACTATGACATGCAGGAAACAATTAGCATACACCAATTTTTCAAAGGATACACTCAAGGCCTTTGGGACAGTGAAGGTCGGCCCAAAATATTAAAGTTGGAGGATTGGCCTCGAACTGAATCATTTGCAGAACGACTGCCGAGGCATTACCAAGAGTTTGTCAAATGCTTGCCTTTCAAGCATTATACTCATCAAGCTGGCTACCTCAACATGCCAGCTAAAACACCAAAGAAATCTTTGAAGCCAGAGTTGGGTCCAAAGATATGCTTTGGTTATGGAGTCGATGAGCACCTTGGCTTTTGTTCCGCAACCAAGCTCCAATATGCTCTTTCAGATATGGTACATTTTTTCTACATTTTTTCTGTTATATCTATCTTTATTAAATTGAGTGTTATTTTCCCATTAGACTTCCTAGTGCATCGTTAAATCCCCCGAGGAGATTTAGCGATGTGTTAGCATCTTATGTGGATCTTAAGGATTGATATTGGCGAATTTTCACCAATCCCCAAATATATTGATTCCACAAGCAATCAATGTTTTTTTTTTTTTTTTTTTATTTGGGAGTGTCATTATGTTAATGTTCTTAGGAATTTGATATTGGTGAGCTACTACCAACCACTAAAGTTCATGTTTTAGAAAGAATTTTAATACAAGAAAACTTAATTTTTGCAATGCATAACTAGCACTCCTAAATAGGATGTTTTTTTTTTTTTTTTTTTATGATTTTTGTTTCTTATGTGGAACAATCTTTGTTTTTGTTAATCTTAATTGTTGACTCATACGCATGCTAGAGTCATGTTGAATATGCTTAAGACTTAGGAATAGTAGTTACACAAGAATTCTGAATTAAGTGGAGGTATAAAAGTTCAATAAGTTGTTACACACTATTTCTTGAAGAAGAAAGATGAATTTGAAGTGAGACTCCATAGTTTCTGAAATATTTCGTTGTCGCGTAGCGAGGCATATATGGCCTATTGCATGATAAAGTCTTCATTTGATCCTATTAACATTAATTTTTCTTCGGGATTTTGTATTGGTACTATAGATTTGCTTCTATTTTTTTTCTCTTACTTGGGTAACTTTTGAGCTATAGTAAGATTTTACAACTTCGAATATTTTGTGGATTGAGACATTCTATCACTAGTGATTAGTGTCTACTTAATCTATAGAGACAACATTAGGCGTGGAACACATTGTTCGTTGTTTGTCATAATGTGCATGGCCAAGTGTCTGCAAAGAAGGAATAGGAATAGGATTAGATAGAAAATGTGTTGGTGTCACACATAACTAGAACTCATAAGCATCGCATTAGAATGTGGAATTACTTCATGTAAACCCGGAGAAGCTCAAGGGTCTTTTTGAACTCTATAAATTGTTTCGCTGGTAGTGTGAAATGTATAGATAAGCTTCACAACTATCCTATTTGAACCAATCCATGTGTGTCTTAGGTAAATATAAGTTGAAGTTACCAAACCGAAACCGAAACTCGAAATCGAACTTCTAATACTATTCTAACACTTCCAAATACAAACCCAATACGATCCAACAAATGAAATGGAATTTTGTTTTGGTCACGTGAAAATAGTGAAAACCAAGTACGTTTCAATGACATAACAAGTTATTAGTTGATTAGAATATAAAACACGGTGTAAAGTAATATAGAGGAAAAAATTAAACCGGACGTTGTCGTCGCACATCCTTCTCTCACAGTCGAACGTCGCCGTCGGAGATCATTAAATCAAGATTTCCATTACTATTTTCTTATTAACCAAACATAATTTTTTATTTTAAAAATTCGCCGTTTTCATTTCCTTATACACTTTCCATTTCTTCATATTGAAATCGATGATCCAAATTCCAAACGTAGCCAAACTAGGAAAGATTTCTTCCCTATGACTTACAAAAGTCTATTGACGTAGATTCAACTTCAACCATGCTTTAACCTCGGATGGTTGAGCGGAACCCTTGGGAAACTGCGCAAAGAGTTAAGCGGACTTTTGTTTTGGGGTTTTCTAGCATTTGAAAGCACGATATCATCTACAATATAAAGCTATTTAAACTAAACTATATATGCAAATTTTCATCTCCAACTACAATGCATGAACAAGGTATGCTTGATTTGTTTTGATAGTTATGGTGGTGATATTGTTTAGATATGATTTGATTATCGAACATCATGAATATGGGAAATACCTATCCCACTGATAGGAGTATAATTACTAGACTCGATGAAAAAGGAAATAAGAATATCTTTTAGATTTCAAAATGTTGGAATCTTAGCATGTGTGGTTCAACATCTCCAATTTCAAGTTTAGATAAAGCTAATGAAGCCAAAATCCCAATTTATAAGCATATCTAAGTCATTAGGGCATGAAATGGTAAAACTTGAGTTTTGGAAGCGGGGTCCATCTCCGCATGCAAACGTACTATGAACCTACTCCGATACCTTGTGAGAAAAGATAGGTGAAGAATTCCTTTCTTCACATATTAAGTAAAAACAATACATCGGCATACACAAGTTACTCTAAGCTAAATAAAGAATATATACCAACTAGTACACCATAATTAAACTAAAAATCTTAGCTATTTCTAATATATATTATACTTGGAGATGAGTTATACCCTAGCCAATTTATCATGGCATCGTAGCACAATAAATTAGCGATGTGGGATAAGTTTGGGTATGTTTGGTAAGCTTATGGGCTTCCGTTTCCATTTTATTCTGGAGAAAGATGTTTTGGAAGTAGAATTTGAAAATAAAATAAACTTTGTTTGTGTTTTGAGAAGAGACAATGTGTACTGTAGCTTGTCAAATCATGTCTAAAAGGTGTTGGAAAAAGGTATTTTGGAACAAGAATTTGAAAAATAAAGTGATTTTAGTTTGTATTTTAGTGAAGACAATTTTCATTGTAGCAGTGAAATCATGTTTGTTAGAGAATGAAGCATTTAAATTTTTTTTGGGAAAAGTTTGTGAAAATATTGTAGAAATATAATTTTATTTTGGGGAAATAGGGAAAAGAATTTGAAAACCGTAACAAACATAGCCTTATCGTCTAACAATATCAAAAACCGGAAGCGTGTTTATAAGGAAAGTTTTCATCAAATGCATTTGATAATTAAATTGCATTAATCCTTATGACTTATTTTTTTTATGTAAATGATAAGTATAAAAGCATAGGAACTAGTATGAATAGTGCAGTAACAATAAATGCAAGAATATAGTTTCCTAGGTAGTTGTTTTTAGCTTTAGCCAAAAATCTTACGTTTAAGTTGCGACGTTTGGTTGCGACTTCCTTTAGAAAGGAAAGTATAGGTACACATATGAAGAGATCAAATAAATAGCTTACTCAATGATCATCTTTATTTTGGTGTGCGATGTTACTATTGTAAGATTGTGCTTTTACTCTATCGTCCAAATTTGAACTATATTCCATTCACTTTATGCTGATCGTCAATGCAACGTACCTTATTTAAATTGTATCGTCCATAGTTTTCACTTTCCTTATTTTTTTATTTAAATTGTTTTTCAGGTCAATATCTTGATGCATACTGCTGCCCAGGATCCAGTTGTATCTTCTGCAAATAATGAGAAAGCAAATGAAAGGGAAAATAAAAATAAAGGAAAAGAAAAAATCGATTCTTCTACCTCAGCAAACAATGAGCAAAGGTTCGATGATAAAACAGGTGGTACTGTCTGGGACGTTTTCAGGAGACAAGATGTTCCTAAATTGGAGGAATATCTTAGAAGGCATTATGGACAGTTCAGACATATATTCCCTCTGCAACAAGTAATTATATTCTAAACTTTGAGTTTAATGGAACAATTGCCAACTTTCCTTTTTGGCGTTTTGGGGAACAAGTACTTCTTGTTTGTTGAGCAGAATCCGAAACACATATACTGTTGTAAAATTAGTAGATGGTTTTTATTCTTCTTTCTTTTTGGCGAAGTATTAAAATATTACTTATTTATTTTTCGTTTATTCATGTGAAGTTGTTTCACCCTATTCATGAGAAAGCATTTTACCTAACGGTGGAGCATAAAAGGAACCTGAAAGCACAATATGGTTAGTATGTTTTCTGCGTTTTAATAGGGTAATATCTCTAATTTCCAGGGATACTGATTATATATATGCTGGTACTTCTTTCTTTGTAGGAATTAAACCATGGACTTTTATTCAGAAGTTAGGAGATGCAGTTATTGTACCAGCTGGCTGCCCTTATCAAGTTAGGAATTTAAAGGTTCGGTCGATAGATAGGCCAAATTTCTGATATTCGGCTATTATGCTATTCAAGTAGTTGATTTGTTTGTAGTTAATGCAATTAATGCGCTCTTGAGTTTTGTTCGTCTTGGAAAAAAAAATCTGAAGTATTTGGTCACTTCATCAATGTTTTACATTCTCTTGTTATTTCAACTCTCTCTTTTCCTTTGATTCTTTGAATTTTTTTTGTAGGCATAAATTATCATTCGCATATGCATTTTTTTCATTTTAATGCTAACTTTGCAATTAATGTTTGTGTGTTTTCCTCTTTCAGTCGTGCACCAGTGTCTCTGCTAACTTTGTTTCAGCAGAAAGTGTTGGTGAGTGCATCCGTCTATCGACGGAATATCGGCGTCTCCCTCACAGTCATAGTTCTAAAGACAACAAATTGCAGGTGTGTAAGTTGATGTATTAGTGTATAATATATAAACGGATTTCCTTCACTAAAATCTAAAATATATAAATTGAGAAGATAATTACCAGGTATGGATGAGAAGTATAATTTTCTCTAGTTATATTTGTTTCCAGCCTAACTCTGATTCGTGTACATAAATAATACTAAATAAGCATCTAACAGCTCTTAATGAAACAGGTGAAAACACTGGTTCTCTATGCCGTATGCCAAGCTGTGCAATACTTGGAAAGGATTGATCTGTAAGTCAGATATACTTTTTAAAATTATGTCGTTGAATTAATTAGATTGTTCTTTCGTACAAGTAAATGGATACAAGCATTGTTTAATTATTCGTTTTCGTTTTCAGTTTACGGTCAGAGGTCTAGATCTGTAATTGAATTTGGTGGTTGAATTTAACTTGGATCTTTGTTTCTTAATTAATTACCACCTTACGTTAAATTTAACTGTCGTAAGATGGAGAAAAAAATGTTATTATGATGTCCTTCACATGCTTGATATTGCTAGAAATTTCTGATAATAAGTAGCATAGACATAACTTGATCCTCGGATATTTTCTTGATTTGGTATCATTTATTTTATTGTACTTTTTAAAGGAAGAAGTAGATTTAGCCTTCTCATGGGCGATTTTGACACTCTTTTTTTTTTTTTTTTTTTCAGTAATAATACCTTAAGAAATCCGTTTGAGCACGAGAATGTACAGCCAGGAGAGAGACCTAGTCGTTCACAAGTGAGGAGGGAGTTGGAGAGGATGAAATTGGCTCTCCAGACGAAAGGCCACCTTTTTCAAACGCATATGAAAGACTATCTTTTGAAAGAGATTGCGCTCCTCACCGACAGAATAAACTCCAGTGCTGGCTCTTCTTCGTCTTAGTGCCAGCATTTTCAATGGTTAGCCTTCTTGTTGAGTTAACATCTCTTGCCTGAATAATATTTTGACATTTTCATCTGTGGAACTATACTTTATTTATATAATTTTGAGCCATACTTTTGTCTGATTTCATGAATTTCGAAGTCCCTGAGAATTTTCGAGTTGGTTTTGGCATGATGCAGGCTAATGTTTCCGTTTTTTTTGGTTTTAGTATTAAGTGTTGGAAAATGCAAATTGATATTTCTGTTGCGTTTGCTGAATGCACAGGCCTGTTAGCAGTGGATATTGGGCATAGGTATTCTTTAACAAATCCGTCCGGTATATTTTATATCTTTCCAAAATGTATATTGTTGCCAGCTAAGATTGGTCAACGCTGATACGTTAGATGAGCTGGCGTGGCGTGGCTGGATAAGGCACAATTTGTTGCGAATCGCTGCATTGGCTGCCGGCCTTATCACGGTAGATTTTCTCACCATTATATAACACACTCGTTTCCCTTCCCCCATTCATTCCCATATCTCCCATCTCTCGATTCCTCTCTCAGTTTTCTTCTCATCGTTTTCTCAGATATTTGTAAGTGTTTTATTTAGTTTTTGAATGATGACTATCCACCCCCCCCCCCCCCCCCCCCCCCCCCCCCCCCGAGTTCTATTCTCTATTCAACATTTAATTTTCCATCTTCCAACCTATTTTATCGGATTGATGGTTTTTGATTTATTCTGGTGGTTCAAAATCAGATGACATGTCGATCAATGAGATGTGCAATTTATTTTTGTTTTTGAATTGTGTACTTTCCGATCTTTCATCCCCCCCTCCCGAATTGATTAACTTATCCAGTTCTTTTTGGCAATTTTCATTTCTCTTGATATTCTTGTTGAAAATACGGCAGCTTCTACTTTGGATTAGAACGAGTCCTAAGAGATCATATATTTATCATTTAAGATTTGAAGATTAGTTTTATAGGACTAACTTTTGTGTCCTATCTTTGCTCCTCTTTCTGATGACCCTTTTTTTTTTTTTTTTGCATTGTGAAGTTGCTAATGAAGGAAAATTCAGATGAAGTGGCCCAATCTGAAGGTAAATTAAATTTCGTAATTACAACTATGGCACTTTTCTACTATGATTTATCCCGTACATCGAAAAAAAATTGTAATGTGAAATATGTGATTGGATATGACACCTTTGCTCGTTTTACATTCTTCTGTGTGTTGGATTATTTACAAATTAATTTTCTAAAAATAACGATGTTCTTCGTATAGCTTATTTCCTCAATCATGGTCTTATTTCTTGTAATCGTTTCTAGGTCGCGATTCATGCTTCACATTTCAATTAACTCACAATGTGGATTGTAAATCTGTTTACGGGCCGGACAACATCTTCAAAATGTCAATACTCTGTTTTTTCTAAAAGACCAATACTCTGTTTGGCTCAAGTGTTTTTTCGTTCATGAATTTTGAGCCGTGAAGATCTTTATGTGCACTCTTAATGTTTTATTGCAATTTTAATTCATGAATATATATGTCGTTTCTACCCTTTTTTATCGGCTGCGTATAATTTCTTATTCCAGGGGAGATACGTATACCTAGTCTTGCAGAAGTGAAGAGGGAATTGGAGAGGATGAAATTGATTCTCGAAACAAAAGGCCACCTTATTGACCCTCATATGAAAGCCTATCTTTTGCAAGAGATTTTGGGCCTCCTTAACAAAGTAAACACCTCCGCCGTCGAGTCTTCTACGTCTCAGTGAAACCATATCTACCGATGCGTTAACGTTTTTCATACTGTAATTTTGGGCTATCTTTTTTCTTTTCGTTTTTTGTGAGTTGTAATGACTTTAGCGAATCGGAATGGACATGAATTTTTTTTGTTTTTTATTATAAAATATATCTTTAATTTCGTAGCAATATGTTGTGTTATTTGTAGCAGTTTCATTTTCTCCTACTTTGTAATTCGTACCATGATTTAATTTTCTTAATAATATAAAACGGATGGAGTTATCATAAAATTAGGAAATAGTATACGAGAAGAAGAGTGCAATGTAGGGAGAAGAGTAATTATTTCATAGGTTGCGGCTATATGCAAGACTAATTCCACTCGTGCAAGACCAAATTAAAATTTTCAATGTATAAATACTATAATACCCTTACTTATTAAAAAAATAGAAAATTCCTAATGTGCAAGACCAAAAATTCAAAAACACAAAAATCCCTATACAAGACCACAAAATCACAAGATAAACTCTCATCTTCTTCATCTTCCAAAACCCACAAGACCTTTCTCCTTCCTCCTCCATAAACCCACAAAACCTAGATATTCAAAATTATCAAAACTCAACAAATCTAACAAAGATGGCAAGTATAGAGTCAGAAAACATCAAAATATAAGATTCTACGATGAAAGAACCCAAGAAGATGCATTTATCGGTTTTTTTAGCTAGAATATCGATTTTCCAAAAATAAAATCCCGCACAAACGAATTCGACATGTACATGTCGAATTTTACAGGTAAAAATCGACATTTAGATGTCGATTTTGAGGTATAAAATTCGACATTTGAATTTGTACTATAAATTCGACATGTCAATGTCGATTTTTACCTATGCAATTCGACGCTTAAGTGTCGATTTGTAGCATAGTTTTTCGCACCTTGGTGTCGATTTTTACCAGTTTCAAATTTAATTTGTTTTTCCTCTTTTTTTGGGCAGATTTAGGTCACCCATGATTGTGTGTGGTGGCGGCGGCGATCGGCGGCGGAGCTTGAGCGGCGGAAAAGGTGGGCGTAGGTAGGGTTTCAGGGGGGCTGTTTGTTTTTTTAATTCACGCTTCTAGGTTTTTTTTTTTTTTTGTTTTTTTCTTCATTATTTGTATTTTGGTCTTGCATGAGGAAAAAAAAACCAATTTAATTTATGGGCATATTTGTCATTCCATCTTAATAAAATAGAATCTTTTGGAATCTTTCTTTAATTTGGTCTTGCACAAGTGGAATGAGTATTGCATATAGCCGCAGCCTATTTCATATCTTCAAGTATACCAAACTCCTATAGTGGAAGAACCCACAAAGATATGCATTTGTGTGTTTTCTCAGCTAGGTTATCGTTTTTGCAAAAAACTCCTTGCATATGCGATTTGACATTTACATGTGGAATTTTAACCCTAAAATTCGATGCCTTGATGTCGTAATAAGCTTGATTTCCTAAACATTATGCAAGGAAAAATATTAGTAGATGTAGTGAGAGATATATAGAACAATTGTGGGTAATAGAAAGAGCTATGCCATCCAATCATAATATCGTCAGAGCCAGCATAAGGAGTATGAAGAGAAAGATTGCCCAAATCACAAGTGACATGATGGGAAGCACCACTGTCAAGAAGTCAATCAAGAGTATCAAATGAGTGGTTGGTTGCAACATGTGCACGAGGTTGACGTGGTTGGGTTGGTGATCGATGTGACATTGTGTTTGCATAAGCGATGTCGAATGCGAGTGAGAAGTCGACACCAATCGAAATACAGTTGTTGGACTGTGTGACCTAGTGCCCGACAACCTTGGCAATTTCCAAGATATGGGCGAGAGGGAGGTCGATGGGCTAGAGGTACGCACGCGTACATGGTGAGCGCCAGATAAAGTGTGTTGCACAGATGGTCGTTTGGTATAGACACCAGAAGTGTTGTTACGATGAGCAAAGTTGGCAGTAGCTGGAAACGGTGATGTTGAGGGTTGTTGAGCCCGCAAAGAGAGTTCCTTATTGATCAATTTTTCATGGATCTCATTAAAGGTGATTGGGGTTTCACGACCTTCAACAACATCAATAATAGGTTTATAGTCGTCATCAAGACCATCGAGAATGTTCTCAATAAGATCATCATGGTCCATGGGTTTGCCAAGAGCAGCCAATTCGTCAGTTCGTGTTTTGATAAATTGCATGTACAAAGTGATGATTTGAGAACCTTTGACGACCTTTTTAGTTTGGTCTTTGATTTGTTTGATAAGACCACGGGAGGGACGGGCATAGGTGTGTGCAAGCGTTGTCCAAGCGTTACTTGTAGTCTGCGCTTGTTGAATAAGCGGGACAAGAGGTGGTGTGAGAGAGCCAACCATACACTATAAGAGTGGAAGTGTAAGACAATAAATATACAGTTGAGTGGATGGTTGTAACTACCTAAATATATATTTAATTTTTTATGTAATTTGACATTACCTTAGGAGGGTGGCTGTAATTTACACAAAATTAAATCATGCTACGAGTTGCAAAGTCTGAAAGTGACATGATTCATTAGGTGCTTTTAACTTAAAGATGAGCTAATACCAACTCTAATTATAATATTAGTCTAAATTTTATATATCGAACAATGTTAGAAGTTGTGCTAAAATTCAAAATAATGATAAATATTGGAACAAGTTGAATAACGGGTTTCAAGAGTGATTCGAATAACAATCGAAGTCTCTTCCATAGTATGATTTGATGATTTTTTTTCGGTTCTTCAACTTGAAAAAAATAGTAATAGGGTTTAACTGCAATAATTGTTAGTTAGAGGGGTAATAGTCATATTAACGTTTAGTTTGGGCGATGAAATTACATTAATGCCTAGTTTAATTTCCGACGATCAGTTGTCATCTCCCCACTCCCCAGATTAAACCCCGTTGCAATGTCCATGCCCACCGTCGCCGCCGTCGCCACCGCCGCCACCGCCACAGCCACCGGACGTTATCCCTCGCCGTATTATTTCTCGGAGCACGATGAATCGAGGATGGAGCTGGTGAAGAGGAGATGGGAAAATAACAGGCATTCCAACAATACGACTACTGTATTGGTTAATGTGCTCCGGCTATGCTCGCCGCCGTGGTTATGGTGGTGGGAGATATATGGAGTAAATCGGATGTGGAAATTCTTCATCGGATGGCTATTTCCAGATTGTAAGCCATTAAATTTACTGTTTTGGTGAATTATTTGAAAATACAATTGCCTTTCTCTATGATTTTTTGTTTCATAGCAGTATGTAATTGCCTTTCTCTATGCCTTTTTTTGATAGCAGTGTGAAATTTTAACAATTAATTGGGGAACCTCATACCTAATTGAACTCATGGGAGATTCAGTATTATATCAATTTATATGTTTAAGTGATTATTTGTGATTTTATTTTCCATTAACTGTAAATTTACAAAGGATACTCAAGGACACCTTTTTCGTTGTTTCATATGATAATGCCTAATTTGTCAACTGCTGCAATTTCTGTTGTCAAGTACACTCGATGGATGTAGGTTATAGAAAAGCGTCTTAGGTTTCTTCTGACATACTGCTGCATTTATTGCTCCTTATTTAGAACTCGTATTCTCTGTAGGAAATTACTCGTCCAAAAGTTATTTATTTCATCTTCATTGTAACCTGATGGTTCCTACTAATTTTAATTCTCATTATTTGAAGGACTATGGGGCATGATCGAGAGTTGGCTAGAGATGTATTTTCAGTATCAGGTAATAATTTAATCTGGATGTGGAAGAGTAGTCTTAGTAGTGCTCTGTTGAGAGTCAAATAATCGACAAGTGTATTCATCTGATACCATTAATATGAAAGAGCAAATATCAAGGAAATGACTGCGTGACTTAGTTATACAAACATGACATACTAGGAGTTATTTAATGTTGTCAGTTACTATTTTTCAAGTATTGAGATGAGTTTCCAGGATATACAATGATTAACTTGTCAATAAGTTAAAAATAAATTTGATTTTAGGAAAATAAAAATTAGAAAGAAAGCCAGACCAGTCAAGAAGCCGTTGTATACTAGCCCAGTTGGTAAGTGTTGTAGTTTCTTAAAAAAAATTGGCCTTATAAATGGCCTACAAACTGTCCCCAAAGAGAATTGGACCCTTGACTTTAATATAAGATAACACACTTAAGAAATGCAAGAGAATTGAACCCTTATAAATAGGACTCTTTTGTGTATCATGGTAATAAAACAATTGAAATTCTGATTTCCACTGTTCTGTCATTGTACCTGTGGTACCGGTTAACTACTAATTTTCAATGATTTATTGGCCACGAGGTACGGTCTTGAATAAAATAACTAGTTTGCTTATGCATTTAAGGAGTGCACTTAACTTGTTTTTTATACCTTTCTATTCTAATATAGGCTAATTATGATACAATGAATCCAGGACGGATCATTTAGAAGATAAAACACGATAAAATTAAACCAGGCCGAATTTTTATCACAAAAGAGATTTTTAGCAATGGTCTTGGGTTGTTCAGTCCTTGAGTTTTTGCTTTTTTCATACCTAAATTAATGGCTCTAGGAACTTCACAATAGACTGTATGGTACATTTCATATCTCGCCAAATGTCATTTTGCTGCCAGCTACTATTGGTGCAACTGCTAATATCAGCTGGTATCGTCATTGGATATGAATCAATTTATTAGGGATCGATACAATCAATGCTCACCTTATCGCTTTTATTGGCGGAGCTTCCCACAAATAAATTTTACCCTCCCCTCCCTACTCCCATTCTACTTTTTCACACATTCTCCGCACCTCTCAATCCCTTGTTCAATTTTCCATCCCATCTCATCGTTTTCTCTTATCAAAGGTTCAAACTCAGAGGAGTTTGCAATCTGATTTAGGTGATTTTACTTCATTTTGTGTTTGAATGATGCCTATGTTTTTATATTATTTTTTGTTGGTTTTCCATTTTTTTCTTAAACTTGATTAACTGAGTGGTGTCCATCTCTCTCCGGCTGTCTAATTTTCATCACTTTCACGTTTCATTTCATGATTTACACGATATCTTTTAGTTTAGATTAGAAAAGAATATGTGTTTGTTGTCATCTTGATTTTGAAGATTAAATTTTGGACTAGTTTTCTTATGCCTCCTTTTGGTGATTGTTTTAGTGGTTATGGAGAACTAGGACCAGTTTCATTGTCAGTGTGCATAAGTAGTAAGTAGCAATAATATAAAATAATTTTCTTCTTTCTAAAATGTCCTTAAGGAATGCTAATTCTAGATTTTCTTCCTGGATTACTCCAATTTACAGGCATGGCAAGTTAAAAAGTTTTTTTGGTCGGTGAAAAGGAAAATTATTTATATATTCTGTTGATATGCATAAGTAGTAAGTAGCAATAATATAAATAAATTTCCTAGAATGTCCTTAAGGAATATAATTCGAGATTTACTTCCTGGGGCCCTCCATTTTACACGCATGGTAAGTAAAAACGTTTTTGGTCGGTGAAAAGGAAAATTATTTATATATTTTGTAAATCTGCATAAGATTATACTAATAAGCATAAAATTGCAATAGTCAGTATTAGATTGCAGTAAGCAGTATCGGATTACAGTAATCAACACAATTTTCCTTTTTTGCTGGTAAGACATCCTTATTTGGTCTTCCCTGGAACAATTATGCATACATTTTTGCCATTGCAGTTAAGAGAACGCGGTGCCTGATTGAGAAAAACAAGATTTACAAAGACAATTAGGAGTTGAAATGATGCCGTGGAGAAGTACAAATGAAGATGCATCTTCTGCTGAAAATATGCAGATGAATGAACCCAACTTAAAGGTAAACTAGTAATATTAATTGTGACAGATCTATCGAAAACAAAAATGAGAAAAGGAAAACAACATATTGCCTTCTGTGTATTCTGTATATCAATCAAGATTTGAAATTCTATCATATCCTTGCCCATTTCATAACGATGAACGACATTTTATTTTTCCTTTTAACAATTTTTTTCAACTTCAGATCCTAGTTCTAAAAACGGAATAAGAATTGATATTCAAAAGTGAGGACAATGAGTTCCTATGTTAATGTATTTTTTCTTTGGGTTTGACAGAAGAAAAGAAGCGATTCAAATAATTGCCATCAATGTCGCCGAAACGACAAAGGAAGAGTCGTAAGATGCACAAGGTGCAATAAGAAGGGTTATTGTATTACATGCATCACCAAATGGTGAGGAATTGTGGGTTATTTTTTTGTTCTCGTCTTTCAGCTAACATCTTTTCTTATGACAAAAATTATTGGTTGGAATCATCTTATGCACAAGTGATTATACTGGAAACTTTCCTTTTTTATGCTGACAACACGTCGAGAATAAATGTGGAAGATAGAAAATTACAGGATGACATTCTTTTTCGCCAACTATTGCATATTTTCTCTCTCCGTGTACTGATAGCATGAAATAATTAGTTGTTTTGTGTTTTCTGCCATAATATGGTTAAGTTTCATCTGCACGACAACAGTATTCAGTTTCATTGTCAATTATATGTTTGTATACCTTAAATCTTTGTTTTATCTTTACTCTTCAATGTCAAATTATTTGGTAAGCTGCTTCATGTGACTGAAATATACGTGGAATTTCTGAGTTGTTCTTCAGCAAACTTGATTTTCGATTTTACTGCCTAAACGGTATAGTTATTATCTTCTCTTTGGAAGATGGGTCCATGCCCTTTCAGGTTGAGGCTTATATTTATTTCTTTTCGACAGTGTTCTTGCATATATATTTACTAGATCTTTGTGGTAATTACAGGTATGCAAGGATGCATGAGACATATTTTGCTGAAGCCTGCCCCAGTTGTCGTAACATTTGCAACTGTACAGCTTGCTTACAGTCTGATGTGGCCAATCAAGTTCGTATTAAAGTACACTTATCTTGATTTTATCTTGATGTAGAATTATATGTTTTTTAATTAGTTTTATTGTTCTTTCATTTTAGGAATTGCTGATGCCAGACCTTTGCATTAGTGACAAGAGTCAGTACTCAAAGTATATTGTTCGAGTACTTCTTTCTTTCTTGAAGAACTTTGTCGCTGAGCAAAATATGGAAAAAGAACACGAGGCCAGAATTCAAGGTAACTTTTTGTTACGAGTGTTGAAGTTCACCTAGATTACGCTTTTTGTTTGGAAGCTTAGTTTGAATTCGCTGCCTGAAAAGAAAGTCAAAGAGTCTTAGAATGGTATTTAATGGCACTCAACAATCTTCAATTTTGAAAATCTCAGGGAGACAACTAACAATATTATTTTCTGCGATGTAGAAGTATTTTTGCTTTTAAAACAGAGATTGTTGTTTTAGGTGTCTCTGTTTTCCTGAATAGCTCGACAAGTTTACCAATAAAGAGAGTCTATATAACATAACGCATATGATTAAGAGCAAGAAACAATCTATGTTTCTAATGGAATAAAAAGTTGGAAGGATTTTTTCCTTTTCTTTTCTTTTCTTTTTTTTGGCTATTGTTTACTTGATGATGTGCTTCAATTTTTTTGAGAAGTAATAACTCTACATTCAAAATTACCGTAAAGTATTTTATTATTTAAATATTTTACATTAATTTAATGTAGCTGGCATTAAATTAATTCTGCTTGATGTGAATTGTGATTGATTCCATCCATGTGCATTATAAAAAAAATTTATGCTAACCAGTCTATCATAATGATTTTTGTTTCATAGTGCTGGATATGAACATAATTAATAGGATTTTTTATTTTCCCTATCACTTATAGTTTCAGTGCTTGATGAATTACAATATTCTTTTGGTTGGACAGGCTTATCGGTTGCAGGACTACGGCTTCCCAAAGCAAACCTTAGCCATGAATATCAACTGAAAAAATGGTGGATATTTTGAACCAATTTCTTTTCTCGATAATTCTCTGCTCCAATATGCAAAATGTTGATTTTAGAACTTATTTTGTGCAGCGGTAATTGCAAATCTTCAGTATTTGATATTCACCGAAGCTGCCCAAACTGTTCATACAAGCTTTGTGTGAGCTGCTGCCAAGAGATTAGAGACGGATTTATTTCTTACTGTAAACTGACAAATAACGGCAACATTATTTGTCCATCTCAAGGTATGGGGGGCTGTGGTCCTAGGATTCTGGAGTTGAAGTCCACATATTCAGTTAACTGGATATCGGAACTGCTAACAAAAGCAGAATCCGTAGCTGATGCTCATGAACCTTCTGAAGGAGCATGCTCATGCTCGGGATATAATCATGGGAGTGAATCGGATCACTTCCATTGTCCCACAGTTGAGGCCGTTGAAACAGCGGACGAAAAACATTTCCAATGGCACCTATATAAAGGTGAGCCTGTAATAGTCCCTAACGTCCTCCGAAGAACGGCTGGGTTGAGCTGGGAACCATTAGTCATGTGGCGTGCTTCTCGCAAAATCAAAAGCACTCATGACTTGCGTATTCTTGAGTTCAGCGTAACGAACTGCTTAAATTGGTGTGAGGTAAGTCAACTTCCCTAGTATGTTTTACCCTATCAGAGACGCAAATTATAATCCGGATTATGTGATTTGGATTCCTCATCCTTTTGTTAGATTATCTAATAATTAATTTTCTAATAAATCGTTACATACGTTTTAGATGGTCGGTTGCTAGCCACACATTCTTCTTGTTTACTTTTGTTTTCGTGTTGTAATAATTTGATTTTGGGACTATGACATGCAGGAAACAATTAACATACACCAATTTTTCAAAGGATACACTGAAGGCCTCTGGGACAGTGAAGGTCGGCCCAAAATATTAAAGTTGGAAGATTGGCCTCCAGCTGAATCATTTGCAGAACGACTGCCGAGGCATTTGCAAGAGTTTGTCAAATGCTTGCCTTTCAAGCATTATACTCATCAAGCTGGCTACCTCAACATGCCAGCTAAAACACCAAAGAAATCTTTGAAGCTAGAGTTGGGTCCAAAGATATGCTTTGGTTATGGAGTCGATGAGCACCTTGGCTTTTGTTCCGCAACCAAGCTCCAATATGCTCTTTCAGATATGGTACATTTTTTTCTACATTTTTTCTGTTATATCTATCTTTATTAAATTGAGTGTTATTTTTCCATTAGACTTCCTACTGCATCAATAGAAACAGTACATCTCCCAAGGAGATTTAGTGATGTGTTAGCATCGTATGTGGATCTTAAGGATTGATATTGGCGAATTACCACCAAATATATTAACATCTTATGTGGATCTTAAGCAATCAATTTTTTTTTTTGGAGTGTCAATATGTTAATGTTCTTAGGAATTGGTATTGGTGAGGTACTACCGACTACCAAAATTCATGTTTTACAAAAATGGTAATACAAGACAACTTAATATTTGCAATGCATAACTAGCACTTGTAAATAGGATTTTTTTTTTTTTTTTTCAATTTTTGTTTCTTATACGGAACAATCATTGTTTTTGTAAATCTTAATTGTTGAATCATGTTGAATATGCTTAAGACTTAGGAATAGTAGTTATACAATAATTCTTAATCAAGTGGAGGCATAAAAGTTCAATGAGTTGTTTTCCCTTTACCGTGTAATTTTTGAGCTATAGTAAGGTTTTGTAACTTAGAATATTTTGTGGATTGAGACATTACTATCACTAGAGATTAGTGTCTACTTAATCTATAGAGACAACATTATGCTTGGAACACATTGTCTGTTGTTTGTCATAATGTGCATCTTCAAGTGGATGCAAAGAAGGAATAATGAATAGGATTAGATAGAAAATGTGTTGGTGTTATGCATAACTAGAACTCATAATGTGCATGTTCAAGTGAATGTGGAAGTACCTCATGTAATCCCGGAGAAGCTCAAGGGTCGCAATGAAAACCATAAATCTATAGATAAGCTTCAAAGCTATACTATTTGAACCGAAACCGAACTTTTAATACTGTTCTAACACTTCCAAATACAAACCCAATACGATCCAACAAATGAAATGGAATTTTGTTTTGGTCACCAAGTACGTTTCAATGACATAACCGGATGTTGCCGTCGCACATCCTCCTTTCATTGTCGAACATTGCGGTAGGTCGGACGTCGCTGTCGGAGATCATTAAATCAAGATTTTCATTACTATTTTATTATTAACCAAACATATTTTTTTATTTCAAGAAATCTTCTTTTCATTTCCTTATACACTTTCCATTTCTTCGTATTGAAATCGATGATCCAAATTCCAGACGTAGCCAAACTAGGAAAGACTTCTTCCCTATGACTTAAAAAAATCTATTAACGTAGATTCAACTTCAACCATGCTTCAACCTTGGATAGTTGAGCGGAAACCTTGTGAAACTGCTCAAAGAGTTAAGGTTTTGTTTTGGCGTTTTCTAGCATTTGAAAGCACGATATCATCTATTATACAAAGCTATATAAGCTAAACTATATATGCAAATTTTCATCTCTAACTACTATGCAAGAACAAGGTATGTTTGATTTGTTTTGATGGTTATGGTGGTGATATTGTTTAGATATGATTTGATTATCGATCATCACAAATATGGAAAATACCTAGCCCACTAATAGGAGTATAATTACTAGACTCGATGAAAAGGGAAATAAGAATATCTTTTAGATATCAAAATGTAGGAAACTTAGCATGTGCGGTTCAACAAGACCATTTTCAAATTTCAAGTTTAGATGAAGCCAAAATCCCATTTTACAAGTATATCTATGTTTTAGGGCATTAAATGGTAAACCTTGAGTTTTGGAGGGGGGTTCCATCACCGCATGCAAATGTACAATGTGACAACTTGCTCCGGTACCATGTGACAACTTGCTCCGGTACGTACCATGTGAGAAAAGATAGGTGAAGAATTTCTTTCGTCACATATTAAGTAAAAACAATACATCGGCGTACACAAGTTACTCTAAGCTAAATAAAGAGTATATACCAACTAGTATACCATAATTAAGCTAAAAATCTTAGTTATTTCTAATATATACTATACTTGGAGATGAGTTATACCCTAGCCAATTTATCACGGCATCGTAGCACAATAAATAATCGATGTGGGATACGTATGTTTGGTATGCTTTTGGGCTTCCATTTTCATTTTATTCTGGAGAAAGATGTTTTGGAAGAAGGATTTGAAAATAAAATAAAATTTGTTTGTGTTTTGAGAAGAGACAATTTATACTGAAGCCAGTCAAATCATGTCTAAAAGGTGTTGGAAAAATGTATTTTGGAAGAAGAATTTATAAAATAAAGTGATTTTAGTTTGTATTTTAGTGAAGACAATTTTCATTGTAGCAGTGAAATCATGTTTGTTAGAGAGATAAACATTTGAAGTGTTTTTGGGAAAAGTTTGTGAAAATATTGTAGAAAGATAATTTTATTTTGGGGAAAGAGTGAAAATAATTTGAAAACCGTAACAAACATAGCCTTTATCTTCTAACAATGTCAAAAACCGGAAGCGTGTTCATAAGTAAAGTTTTCTTCAAATGGAAAGGCATAGGAACAAGTATGATGCAATAACAATAAATACAAGAATATTAGTTTCCTAGGTAGTTGTTTTTAGCTTTAGGCAATTATCTTGCTTTTAAGTTGTGACGTTTGGTTGACTTCCTGTAAAAGATGTCTAATAAATAGCTAACTCAATGATAAATCTTTATTTTGGTGTCCGATGTTACTATTGTAAGATTGTGCTTTTACTCTATCGTCCAAATTTGAACTATATTCCATTCAAGCAAAACGACCACAACAACTTTATGCTAGTCGTCAACGCAATGTTCCTTATTTAAATTCTATCGTCCATACTTTTCACTTTCCTTATTTTTGTTATTTAAATTCTTTTTCAGGTCAATATCTTGATGCATACTGCTGCCCAGGACCCAGTTGTATCTTCTGCAAGTAATGAGAAAGCAAATGAAAACGCCATGAGAAATCAACAAAATGAAAGGGAAAATAAAAATAAGGGAAAAGAAAAAATCGATTCTTCAACCTTAGCAAACAATGAGCAAAGGTTCGATGAACAAAAAGGCGGTGCTGTCTGGGATGTTTTCAGGAGACAAGATGTTCCTAAATTGGAGGAATATCTTAGGAGGCATTACGGACAGTTCAGACATAAATTCCCTCTGCAACAAGTAATTATATTCTAAACTCTGAGTTTAATGGAACAATTGCCAACTTTCTTTTTTGGCGTTTTGTGGATTATTTCTCATATGGCAGTACTTCTTGTTTGTCGAGCAGAATTCGAAACAAATAATGTTGTAAAATTTATTAGATGGTTTTTATTCTTCTTTCTTTTTGGCGAAGTATTAAATCATTTAAAATAGTACTTATTTATTTTTCGTCTATTCATGTGCAGTTGTTTCACCCTATTCATGAGAAAGCATTTTACCTAACGGGGGAGCATAAACGGAACCTGAAAGCAGTATATGGTTAGTATGTTTTCTGCGTTTTAATGGGGGTAATATCGATAATTGCCAGGGATACTGATTATATATATGTTGGTACTTCTTTCTTTGTAGGAATCAAACCATGGACTTTTATTCAGAAATTAGGAGATGCAGTGATTATACCAGCTGGCTGCCCTTATCAAGTTCGGAATTTAAAGGTTCGATATGTCGTCCAAATTGCTGATATTTGGCTGTTATGCTATTCAAGTAGTTTATTCGTTTTTAGTTAATGCAATTAATGCGCTCTTGAGTTTGGTTACTTCGTCTTGGAAAAAAAATGAGAAGGATTTGCTCACTTCATCAATGTTTTACATTCTCTTGTTATTTCAACCATCTCCTTTTGTTTGATTCTTTGAATTTTTTTTTTTGGTAGGCAAATATGGCTTTTTAGTAATATAAGAGATGAAATAATTAATTATTGTTCCAAAATGATATACATTGCCTTAACAGACTCGATGTATCTCGAAACCGCGGACTACCATCTTTTTTAATTTCTATGCATGGCTAAATGTTAATTTGGTTCCTCAGTTAATTTTCCCCTTTTTTGTTTAAATTTTGAATTGTCTGAAAAAATGTTACACAAGCCAAGTAGAATATGCGACTGGTATACAACATTGTAAACAACTTCATAAATTATCATTCCGCATATGCATTTTTGCATTTTCATGCTAACTTGCAATTAATTTTTGTGTTTTTCCTCTTTCAGTCGTGCACCAGTGTCTCTGCTAACTTTGTTTCACCAGAAAGTGTTGGTGAGTGCATTCGTCTATCGACGGAATATCGGCGTCTCCCTCACAGTCATAGTTCCAAGGAAGACAAGTTGCAGGTATGTAAGTTGATGTATTTGTGTATAATATATAAACGGATTTCCTTCACTAAAATCTTAAATATATAAATTGAAAAGATTATTACTAAGTATGGATGAGAAGTATAATTTTCTCTAGTTATATTTGTTTCCAGCCTAACTCTGATTCGTGTACATAAATAATACTAAATAAGCATCTAACGGCTCTTAATGAAACAGGTGAAAACACTGGTTCTCTATGCCGTATGCCAAGCTGTGCAATACTTGGAAAGGATTGATCTGTAAGTCGGATATTCTTGATTTCCATGATTTAAGTTTTTGTCTAATTATTCATTTTCGTTTTTGTTTTCTGTTTACGGTCAAAAGTCTAGACCTGTAATTGAATTTGGTGGTTGAATAACTAGTCGATGGAAATAACTCGGATGTTTGATATTGATAGAGAACAAATGTTATTTTTATGTCCTTCACATGCTTGATATTGATAGAAATTTCTGATAATAAGTAGCCTAGACATAACTTGATCCTTTGATATTTTCTTGATTTGAAATCATTTATTTTATTTTATTTTTTAAAGGAAGAAGTAGAAATAGCCTTCTCATGGGCGATTTTGACACTCGTTTGTTTTTTATTCTTTCAGTAATAATACCTTAAGAAATCCGTTTGAGCATGAGAATGTACAGCCAGGGGAGAGACCTAGTCATTCACAAACGAGGAGGGAGTTGGAGAGGATGAAATTGGCTCTCGTAACGAAAGGCCACCTTTTTCAACCTCATATGAAAGAGTATCTCTTAAAAGAGATTTCGCTCCTCACGGACAAAATAAACTCCAGTGCTGGCTCTTCTTAACCATTAAAAATGCATTTTGTATTAATTATATGTTTCCAATGTATATAGTTTTGATCCATATATACTTTTTTATTTTTGTTAATATTGATAGAGCTGTGTATGTTATGAATGTTGTTGAGTCTGGTGAATCAACTTGAAATTAAATGTATTACTATATATAGGCTACTGCAATATGTTATGTTGTTCTGTATATCATGCACGATCACCCAATGTGTTTCACCGGGTATAACATCGCAGAGAGTGGTGTAGACTATGCCGAATTTTTGGTACTTAGAACCGTTTGGTGAAATTTGAGATTTTGAATTTCATGGCAGATAATTAGAAAAATGAGGTTAGAGAGTTGATTGGCTCAACCTTAGACCGAATTACACATGTTCAAACAAGTGATTTAGCTAGCATTTGTCGGGCCATGTGATCCCTTGTTTTCTTCTTTTTACCACTAATTTTAAAGAACACAAGTTCTATTAGTCTATCTATTATGAGGGAAAATTAGTTGGAAGCCTCTAAAAGATATACTCTATAGCTATAAGGACATGTATATTTTGCCTTTTTGCAAAAGTTTTTGTACGCTTTCGCGTTTTGGATCTGATGCTCGGTCTGGAAGAAGAGTAACAGTAACAGCGACGCGGTGATTTGTACAGCTTAGTTATATTAATGAGTACAACTTAGTTATATTAATAAACAACATCTTAGTTAAAATAAACTGATGAAAAAACTAAAGTAAGAATAGATGCATCTCACAACACATATACAATTTACACAGACAAGTTTGTCTATAGAGCTTAGTTACACTAACAAGCAACAATTTATAAAAAAAACACTTTTTTACATGTAATTCTTCTATGAAGTTAGATAAATTAGAAAACTTATTAGCATTACTTAGTTACACAACTTATTTAAAATAAGCTGAAGAATAAAACTTAAATCTCTAGTGCATACATTACCACCAATATTACCATCACCAATTCTTCGTATTTATCCGTTTTGGTTTCCATGATTATTAGGTTACAGCAAATATGAATGAGTGTAATCAAAACCGTATGTGTCTGCTTGTTTGTGGTTGTATATGTGTGCATGTAGGTGTGTGATTATGTGTGTGTGACTGTATGTGGTTGCGTGACAAAGCTTCGATGATGGTATCAACAGAGAGAGGGGTGGAGCAGATTTGACGAAGTGTATCAGGGTTGGACGAAACTTGACGAAGAATAGTTAGGATAGATGCGTGTGAAGAACAAAAGACTTTAGCAAATTGCAAAAGTTCCGGTATTCTAATTTGAAAGGCTATTAACACTCACGAATATTTAGTAAATTGCCCCTAAAAAAACTGCGTACAAAAAGTTAGCTTCTATATACATATTTTTTTGATAATTTTTTTTTGCGGCGACTATATGGAATCGCAAAAGTTACTTAGGGGAAGACCAAATCTAATTTTTCACCAAATGAATTACTAAAATACTATTATACCCTTACTAAAATACAAAATCCACAAGGCGGTGGATATATGCAAGCCCATTTTTTATTTGTTCAAACCCACATAAAGGAGTTTATTAGTTCAAGCCCGTAAATTAATCTAATTTTATTACATCAAGAGCAAAGAGGACAAATATGCCCTTATCCACAAATAATACTCAAATACAAATAAATCCGATTTTTAATTTGTTCAAGACCAAAAAATCAAAAAAAAAGAAAAAAAGAAAATATCATGACTGCCGCTGTCAGACCGCCGCGACGCCGACCAGCGAGACTTCCATCGCACCGGCGATGACCAGCGACCCACCCACATCACCATTACCACCACCTCACCCCCACCAACATGTAAGTCCTTTTACTAAACTTTTGTTTGTAAATTCGAAAACATTAATCTAGCATCGATATCCTTTTTACTAAACTGTTGTTTGTAAATTCGAAACATTAATCGAGCATCGATTATTGATAAATATGTATGAATGAACATTAATCTATGCTTATTTCTTGTTGGGTTATAATGCTTTGATCGATTTTGGAAAAAAAATTAAGATTGAAATTGGTTTTTTTTTTTTTTTTTTTTTATCGTTGATTTCCCAAATCGGTTTCCCCAGACTGATTTTGTACACGAAAATCGGTGTCATAATGCATATTTTTGTTAACCAAATCGGGGACACAACGTCGACTTTACGAGTCAAAATCGGTGTTCTAATGTCGATTATTGAGTACAAAATCGGTTTTCGGATACCGATATTTTTCAATTTTTTTTCCTTTTTTTTTTTGAATAATACATTATATATTTGGTTAATTGATATTTTTTAAATATTTTGCAGTGGAACCTCAACCTTCTCGTGTACCCCCGACCGTCTCAAACCGCAATCGAAAGGAAAATGCCCAAAAGAGCAAGGTGGAAAAGCCAAAATAAAGGTGTGCTCCTTTTAATCCTCCCGGTCGACGCACTCGGATTAATGAAGGTCCTTCTTCAGTACCGATATTTCACGGTTTTTCGCTTTTTGAAATTTCTTTTCGAGCTAGTAATACACACTATCCTTTTGTGTTTGGATTTTATAATACAACTTCAGAGGTATTAAGCATAATTATATATGTTACGAGCAATTGTAAGTAATCTATATTATATATAAAACTAAGATACACAATCAAAGTTTTCTAATTGAGGAGATTGAGTCCATAATATTTTATAAATTTCAAAATAACCCCACTTACCATATTCACCCATATTACTAATGAATTAATTTCACATTATTGGTTTTTAATTTTTTATCTCTCCTACATGTCAAAATGGTGTCTTTTTATTGGTTATTGATTTTCCTTTTTAGTCCATTGCTTCATATTAAAAAAACGTAAATATATAAATGGACATTCCACTTAATTTGGGTTAATTAAATTTTATGCACAATATTATATTAATTGCAAAAAAAAACCCAATTTTCAAATTTCATCTATCCTACATGGCAAAATAGTGTCTTTTTATTGGTTAATGAGTTTTTTTTTTATTATAATATTTTCATTAAAAAAATCGTGGGACTGAAATGCAATTATGTTCCACCACATATATCACATATTATGATTATTTTCAAAATAACCCAACTTACCATATTCACCCATATTACTGATGAATTAATTTCTCAATAATGATTTTTAAATTTTATCTCTCCTACATGTCAAATTGGTGTCTTTTTATTGGTTATTGATTTTCCTTTTTAATCCATTGCTTCATATTAAAAAACGTAAATATATAAATGGACATTCCACTTAATTTGGGTTAATTAAATTTTATGCACAATATTATATTAATTGCCAAAAAAACCCAATTTTCAAATTTCATCTATCCTACACGGCAAAATAGTGTCTTTTTATTGGTTAACGAGTTTATTTTTTATTATAATATTTTCATTAAAAAGTTGTGGGACTGAAATGCAATTATGTTCCACCACATATATCACATATTATTATTAATTTCAAAATAACCCAACTTACCATAGTCACCCATAGTATTACTGAATTAATTTCACATTAATGATTTTTAAATTTTATCTCTCCTACATGTCAAAATGGTGTCTTTTTATTGGTTATTGATTTTCCTTTTTAATCCATTGCTTCATATTAAAAAACGTAAATATATAAATGGACATTCCACTTAATTTGGGTTAATTAAATTTTATGTACAATATTATATTAATTGCCAATAAAACCCAATTTTCAAATTTCATCTATCCTACGTGGCAAAATAGTGTCTTTTTATTGGTTAATGAGTTTTTTTTATTATAATATTTTCATTAAAAAAATCGTGGGACTGAAATGCAATTATGTTCCACCACATATATCACATATTATTATTAATTTCAAAATAACCCAACTTACCATAGTCACTCATAGTATTAATGAATTAATTTCACAATAATGATTTTTAAATTTTATCTCTCCTACATGTTTATTTTTAAAGTAGTATAGATAAAATAGGTAATTACATCAATTTATATTAATTACTTTTTTTGTTACCTTTTTTATATTCCCTAACTCTACTATAAATTAACATTCAACATGATGTACATTCTTCAACTTTTCCACATACTTTTTTTTTCTGTTTCGGAGATATGGAGAGAATTCTTGAAAAAGAATTGCATTGGTATCACCTACATGCAATGGTATATTCATCATAGTCTCTTTTTTAGTGTAACAATGAATTATTGCTTTATTTTGTATCTGATTTCTTCATTCAATTTTATATGTAGCCTTTAAAGAATGCTTTTGTTGAGGCTTCTCGGTTGACCGGATTGTCTACTATCAATATTCGATACGAGGAGGGAAATCATTTTCAAGTTGCGGTATCTTCGCGCCAAAAACATGGAAAAATGTATATGTTGTTGACTAAGGGTTGGACAGAGTTTTGTTACGCACATAACATGGTTTGCGGCAACACGTATTCTTTTTTTTTTTAACCAATGGGATGATGTACTTGAGGTGTGGCACGGCCCAGCCTTTCCAATGATATGATATGTCTTCGCCCTCCTTAAAGTTTTATTATTAATAATATGAGTTGCATCGATTTATAAATAATTTCAATTTTTTTTAGTGTTCTATTTATCATGTTGAAAGAGCATTGTATACCATTAACATAATTGTGCGCATCCACACGAAAACGAATACCCATAAAATAATTAAATAAATATGTAGAAACGATAAAACCAAATTATAATATATTACAAAAATAGTCACAATATATATCACGTATTTTTAAATAAAAGAATCCATTAAATCAATAGAATCAATATACATATTTAAACAATATATTCCGTTATTTTTATAAGCAATTTTAATTGTTCAAAAAGCATAACCATTATATATAATAGTGTGTAATTAACATGTTTGAAATTTATATTGTTTTTTCCCTAATCCATTATAGATATATATATATATATATATATATATATATATATATATATATATATATATATATATATATATATATATATATATATATACTCTCCTATATAGATATAGATATAGATATATAAAATCAATAAAATATGTATACTTATTTTAACAATAGAATCCGTGTATAATATATTTAATTTTTATGGATATGTTCAAACAATATAGTTTTTATTTCCTTTATACTAATTAATATCAATTTAATCTTTCATATTTATGTAGGTTATCTATAATTAACATAAATTAGGCATA